GGGGCTCAAAAAAGAAAAGCAGGAGCTTATCTGAGGTGACTAGAGGATCCCTGATTATTATATATATATATTGTGGGAGTGGGAGGGCTTGTTGAAAGTAGTATGACGTGGAGGACATGGATTTTACGTTGGAGGAGGTGCTTAGAAAAACCAAGTGGCGGTAATTTCAGAGCTTAATTATATTACTCTCTCTGTTCCTAAATAACTGTCTCTTTTTTTAAATATTTCTGTAATATCTGTCACTTTAGATTTCTAATACTGCATTAAATGCAATTTTCTTCTTTTAACCTTATTAATGAAAATCTAATTATTAATTTTCTCTTATAAATTATTAAATAGTAAATGTTGTTTTAGTCATTTTTATATGATTTTTCTAAAATCAAGATATATTTATTGAATTTCTTAATCTTTGTGAAAAGTGAAAAAATACACTTATTTAGGAACGAAGGGAGTAATAAATAATAATTTAGTTAAAATACATTGAAGGAAAAACTAAAATAAGAATAGATGCATCACAATAACACACACAACTTATATTGATAATTTAGTTACATTAATGAGCAACAATTTAGCAAAAAATATGTATTTCATGTAATTATACTTTGTAAGTTTGGTTAATTAGACAATTTAGAAAGCCTATTTGCTTAGTTTAATTACACAACTTAGTTACATTGATGAGTAACAACTTAATTAAAATAAACTAAAGAAAAAAAAAATTAAATCCCTAGTGCCTACATCATGAACATTACCATCACTATCACTAAACAATTTTTCATATTTTTCTTTTTTAATTTTCATGATCATTAGGTTATAGTTAATGAAGGGAAGTAGTGTAACCAAAATCGTATGTATGTGCTTGTATGTGGTTGCATATGTGTGTATGTAGGTTTGTGATTATGTGCGCGCGTTGTTTGTGGCTAAATGGCAAAACTTCGAGGATGGCAACGAGAGACAACGAGGGTTGAATAGATTTGACGGAGCGCAACAAAATTAGATGAAATCTGACATAGTGCAACTGGATTCTTACAATAACAAGCGATATAAATTGCACTGAGCAAATCATGCACGATCATATTATCTCTATAATGAAAATTACCAATTGCAATTAGAGGAGCAATGCATGAGATATAAATGTGAAGACCACTATAATTTATTTTTAATTCAATTAAATTCATACATTTAAACAACATAATCCAATATGCCAGTACATGACAATCAATTATTAGATGCTATCAGCTTGAAGCCAACAAAAACCACCTATCACAACGTCTTTCCACCTAATATCAACCATATATAGTTTAATTATTTATTTATATATATATATATATATTTCCAATTTAGTTATATATTTATTTAATTTATTTTATTTTAATTTGTATATTATATATATATATATATATATATATATATATATATATATATATATATATATCATATCATATGCAATGCTCATTAATATTCTTGGAGTGTACAAAGAATTAATTAATTATTTATTTTACATTTATTAAAAGGATAATTACAACCACCCCTGAGGTATGGTCAAATTACGACAAAAACCCCTATTGTTTGGATAATTACATCTACCCCTCAACTATGATTTTTTCTTACACATCCACCCTTATGGTGTCAAATTCAACATAATCATCTAGATTTTATGGAACGTGGTCTAGTTTGTAGCTCGTTTTGTGTAAAAATACAGTTTCTGATGCACCACGTTATGATATATGCAAGCCAAAAAACACATATTATGATCATCTTGTTTTAAAATGTGGAGTTCGAATGAGATAAAACGGATACAAAAGTGATAATATTCCATATAATCCCAAAGATTCCACTAAATTTGAAACCGCAAAGGTGGACATGTAAAAAGATTTATAGTTGAGAGGTGGTTGTAATTACCCAAACAAGATGGGGGGTTTTGTAATTTGACCGTACCTCAGGGGTTGGGTGTAATTTACCCTTATTAAAAAGGAAAGGAACAAAATTCAAAGGAATAATGGGTCAAAAGGAATACCTTTCTTTCTAGAAACCCCCAAATTAAATTCCACGCAAGAGAAAAAAAAGCCCTAGAATTCAAACCTCCCAACCAAATTCCCCAATTACGCAAACAAATTCATTTCGTTCAATTCGAGAAGAAATATAAAGAAATCTAAAAATTGGCGATCTTCATCGATCGCTTTTGAAGGTCGGCCGAAAAAATGCAGTTGTTCTCCTGCAAACCGCCGTCAATTTTCATCCTCGCCGTTCTTCTGACCACCCTCCTCCCGGCCACCGTCCGATCCGATCCCAATTTCCTCAAACTGCCGTCCGATTACGAAAACGACGTCTGCCCGTTGAATTCCGACGCCGACACCTGCCCCGTCAAATGCTTCCGTACGGACCCCGTCTGCGGCGTCGACGGCGTCACCTACTGGTGCGGCTGCGCCGAAGCCCACTGCGCTGGGGCCCGCGTCAAGAAATTCGGGTTCTGTGAGGTCGGCAACGGCGGGCCCGCGGGCCAGGCCCTTTTGTTGGTGCACATCGTTTGGTTGATCCTCCTTGGGGTATTTGTTTTGTTTGGTCTTCTTTGAATTTGATTTGATTTTTTTTATTTTTTTTAAATTTCATTTTCTTCTGTTCTAATTGGGGCTATTATTTCATGTACCTATGAGGGAAAATTTACTTTGATTTTTGATCCAGATTCTTTTCTGTACAAGTAATCTTTTTCGGTTCATTAGAAGCAGTTTCGACATTCTTTTTTCATTAACGAAAGAACCCGTAGACATCGTTTCGATATTTGTACATCAAATATGTGTTGATTAGTGAATTACGAAGAAGGTTGATTGATTAGTGCCCGTTTTCGATATTCGTTTTTTCTTTTAATCATGTACTGAAAATCGAGGTTTATGTTAGCTTGGGCCGATCGAGTTTAGTGTATCGGTCTTTTTAAACGACCTTTTTTTTCAACTTGCTAGATGAGTGTTAATTAAGTTGTGGTGTTCATTAAGAAGCTATGTTCATTGCCTAGACGATTCCATACTCGTTCTCGTTAAATTAGCATCTTTGGAAATGTTTGGCACCAGAAATATGAAAGTTCGATTCGTTTATATAGAAACTAAGAATAATGTGCGTAACATCGTAGCTTAGCCAATTTATTGTGCAGTTAGTACTAATAAATGCTTAATGTAGCTAATCGTTAAGTTAAATAGACGATAGAATTTGTCGAACTTGTCTTTCAAGTTGCTCTCAAAAGAGAGAATTTCGGGATTATGGCATTAAATAACCGAACAGTGTGATTAAAAGGTATAAAGTACCCGAATGTAGGTATATTAACTTCACTGCTGAACAGGTTGAAGAAGAAACTCAAGAATTCAGTATGTTTTCCTATACCAAGCATATTTAGCTCTAATCGAAAAATCTCTGAGAAAACCTGTTCGAATCACTTCAATTAATCGTCATACGGCACTTGCATTAAGGGTATTCATCATTGAGATACGTCTCATAAATTTGTAAATAAAGACGATCTATATTAAAAAAAATTGTCATACGGCACTTGCGTGGTATTCATCATCGAGATACATCTCGTCATTTTGCAAGTAAAGGCGATCTACATAAAAAAAATTGCAATAATATATAGCCTACTCAAAGTTCTGAAGTTAAAATTCAATCAGCACCGGCGGCAATTAACGGCGGCTGCCGCCGGCCGGTGAGAATGAAAGGGGAAGAAAACAGGGACAGCTGAAAACTGCAAATGCTAATTGGACCTAACAAATATAAAAGTAATCAACAGTTATCATTGTTCATAAAGCCCAAATTAGGCCCATTTAAAGCTGGGTTTTTTTTTTTAGGAAAAAAGTCTTACATAGTCAACGTTACTGTTAAGTAGGTAGGTAGCTGGTTGACTTTATAGTGCACATATAACACGTTGCTATTTTTTATTGGCTGTTATAGTCTAATCCGAATACTTAACCCACTTTACACTTGGAACGAATAAAGGGGAAACAAACAAAATAGTTCCTTTAGTTAAAATTACGGTCATACCTGAAGTACGATAAATTGCGAAAAAACCTTTTGTTTGAGTAATTGCAATTACCTCTTAACCATGAATCTTCTTACATATCCACCCTTGTATTGTCTAATTCAACAAAATCTTCTAGATTTCGTGGAATGTTATGTACGTTATGTTCGTTTTGTGCCAAAATGCAGTTTCTGATGCACCACAATCTGATATTTACAAGCTAAGAAACACATCTGGAGCACGAATGAGGTAAAATGAATATAAACTGGAGAATATTCCACATAATCTAGAAGACTCCACTAAATTTGACACCGCAATGATGGATGTGTAAGAAAATTCATAGTTAAGGGGAGCGGTTGTAATAACCCATACATTAAGAATTTTTTCGTAATTTGACCATAACTCAGAGGGTAAACTTGAGTTACCCATGTTTTTTATATATATATATATATATATTTTTGAACTTTGATTACATTGATTCTAAGCATGAGTCAGAAAAAAAGAAAAATTGAAATAAATACCAAAAGATTTGTTTCCCTATCATGAAGGATCGAATTTAAGGCCGGTCAATGTTTTTTATAAAGTCAAATCATGAAATTAAAAGTCCTAACATTTAATTATCTTTATTGAGTATATTTCTAATGATCCAAGTATTGTTGCATTTGTTGAATAATAATAATAATAATGTTACTGAAATAGGGGCATGACTGGATTTGGGGTGTCGAGATCTCACGTGCGGAGCGCGTGCAGCTCCGTCTCACTCGGATTGACTTTTGACTTCCGGGCGAAACCACTTTTTAAGCCTCAAAATAATGAGAAATTGGAATTTCATCCGCATTTGGCCGAAATTTCACCTAAATTTGCACTAATGAAAAGTTTAAGATTATATATACACGCGCATTTATTTTATTTATTTATTATTTGAATTAGAAAATAATAATAATAATAATAATGCTAACGTCTAGCACACGAGAATCGGATCACCTTTCTTTCTTCTCTATAAATACCCACACTCCCTCCTGTTTTCATCTGCTTTTTATTCTTGTCTTGTTTACACTTCACTGTGTGTGCGCGCGATTGTGTGTATGTGTGTGTGTGTGAGAGAGAGAGAAATAGAGAGAGAAAGCTGGTGCGTTTTGTTTGCAGTCCGGTTTTCCTTGTTAATCGTGTAAGTTTTCTCTCTCCCCTTCGGAAATCTCTGGTTCGTCTTTAATTTTTTATTTTATTATTTTATTTCTATTTTTCCCTAATTTACAATTGTTTTTTTTTCAGCTGTTTATTGTTTATGCATGTAGCATTTTAAGCTTCTAATTGTGTGTGTGTGTGTGTGAGAATCTGGTTATTATTTGAGATTTTCTTGTGAAATAGACAAATGTGTGATGGCGGTAGAATTTAGGGGTAGCTAAGTCAAATACGCCATAGAAAAAGGTTCTTAAGTGAATTTATAAATTTTGTTCGTTTAGAATTTAATTGATTGACTAGATTTGTAGCTTGGTTCGTTGGATTTTACATCAGATTAATATGCATCTAGAATTCTGTAATAATTTGTGCTTTATAGATCTGTACTTTGTAGGTAATTATGCGTTTAAAAAATAATCTAAAAAAAAATTGAAGTGGTAGGTGATAGATTTTAGATACCCTAAACCTAGATTAGTTAGGTAGCTCGATTTGTGGAATCGGGTGAAAAACTGTTGAACCTTTGAATTGATTGATATTTGCCGTAGGTCGTTTATCTTGATTATTGATGTACAGTTCTATAAATGCTATCTTTCGCCTCTTTGCTCACCTACGTTACTTGTTCGGAGCAGAAAGATCTCTCAATGTTGCTTTGAGTTTGAGATAATTGTGCATGAGTGTGTTGTTATGTGCGCGTGGTGGTAGTTCTGCTTGTGTGTGGGAAACTGAGAATCCACGTAAATGGGGTGAAGAGTGCAAATTGATTCCTCGTCTCAATACTTACTTTGTCTATTTCAAACTTGTCTCTTAGTCTTCTCTTCAAAAGATTCTTAGTAGTAGCAAACTTACATTTTCTACAAACAAGACTTCCGCCGCATCCAAATTGCTCCATAGTTTCGAGCTTCTTCCATCGAACCTAATAGTCCACATTATGTTTTACGCCTGCAGACTATCTGTGTCAGCGAGCTGGGAAAATCGGGATTCATTGAAGGGGGTCACCATTTGCCGATCAAGAGAAAGCGATGGAGGTACTCGGCAAATCTACGGTAGCTGTACCTACAAACGTTATTTATTTGTCGAGTATTCTTGGCCAAGACGGGCCAAACCCTGTCCACAAGTGTGATTGGAAATGTCAAAACGAGCTCGTTTGCGGCAACATGTACAGCTGCAGGCTAACTGGAATCACACACATTTGTGACAAAAACTGTAATCAGAGAATCTTGTATGATAACCATAGCTCCCTCTGCAGAGTGAGCAAACAGATATTTCCTCTAACACCGATCGAACAGCAGGCTGTGAGAGGTGTCAGGAGGAAGCTCGATGCTGAGGGTTGCTCCACGGAGAGCTGTGCTTTTAAGCGCAGAAGAGATACTCAGTGTCATTCATCGTTGCCTTTCGAGAAATCTTTCACTGCTGTGGGTCCCATCTGCAGTCAGATTGGCGATGTCATGGATATGAACTAGATTTCGTTTTACCCTTTTTCTTTCTTCCTAGGAATAGTATGGAGTAGAGAACTTGTTGAGTACTTTTTTTTCTAATGGCATAAGACTCGTAACTCCTTGGAAAGTTGATGATAGTTTATCATTTGAAGTTTATTATGAAGCTTGAGTTGCACTTAATTGCAATCTAGATCTGGAAGTATAATGCAGCAGTGTTCTATTAGCTCGCTTAGTTTCTCTATTCGATCGTTCGCCGCCAACTATGATGTCTCTTTAGCTATTTTTACTCAATTTTGTGTTTCTGACTTTCTTTTCCCTAACAAATATGGTTTTGGCAGAACTGTGTGATACTTTGCGTAGTGGTTTGATTTAATTTGTGTATCTTTACCTTTTCTGAGTGGCTGCCTTTGTCTTGAAGAAGGTTGTTCTGCTCGACGGGTTTTTTTTTTCCGTGTGGAAAAAACGTGTCCTAATTTCAGTTTTGTTTGACAATGTTGCAGGTCGTGAAGGAACGGCATAGATCGACTTCTTTTCTTGAACTTATATATGTTTGTTTATTTGTTGCTCTGCAATTGTGCTCCTAAGCTTTGTCCTTTTCTGCAGGGAGACGAAGCTTATGCAGCACCGAAGACGTTCTAGTCTAGCGTGTTATATTGCCAGAATGATTCAATAGCGGTAATAACTACTTCTAAATCTCGAGGAAGCTCCTAATTATTATTTTTTCTGATGCAGGTAAATAAAAACGAAGAAAACAAAGTCTGCTATGATGAATTACAGTCATCAAGCGGCGAAGATATCGATCTACCATGTTTCTCTATGGTTGCTGTAACTTGATTTGGGCTTTACTTTGCAGTTAACCATGAAAAGAATCTTAGGCAGCTCTTTGCCTGGATTTTGCCCGTAAGCACAGATAGTTTTGCAGAAATGGAGAGAGTTGAGCTGTACGGAGGAGGCGATTCTGCATTGTTTTGGATTTAATGTGTTCCTCTCTCTTTTCGTCCCTCGTGATCAGTCAATACTGCAGGTTACCTCGCAATCTAAGAACTCCGTGCTCTACAAAATCTTACACTGGTTTATACGCAACTGTATAGATATTGATATTTGTTATCCATCTTTTCCTTACATGTCTCTGAGATAACTTGAGATGTGGTAGACCAGGAAAGTAATGAACATACACTTCATTATAGCTCTACTCAAACAATTCTAGCATAATTATCATAGTAACACAATACAACCGTGCCAGATCTTTATTTATGTTAGGTATTGGCGGGGAAGAGAGCTGCGGTTTTAATTTGGGGTGGCGATTTACTCGATTTCGACTCGATCTGGTTCGGATTCATGTGGATTGGATCCAAAATCAACTTATATGAATGGATTCAAAGTGAATCGGGCTTTGCATTGGATCTTACATGGATCCATTGTATCTTTAACTCAGCTTATGAGGTTGAATATCTCAACTTTTGGGATTCAAAATTCATTATACTCAACTATTACCCCGATACGTATTCACGATCGTTAACACTCATATACACACACTTTTAACACATGTAAACATACAGTTCAACACACTTTTCACACACACACACACACACTCACACTCCAACACCCTTTTTACATACACATGCTCCAAGCCTCCTCCACATTTTTTACACACGCGCGCACACACATACAAACATACACTCATTTGACATACATACACTCATACATACACACATTCCAACATGCACATACAATAATTATAGAACTAATACTCATCAAGTAATTACACAATTGCCACTCACCAAGTAATTGCAGAACGGGATCTATGTGATTCTGTTTATTTCAAACTAGATGTAATACAAATCGGATCCATGTTACCGAACCGAATCTAATTGGAACCGGCTCCAAATTGCCGCATTCCTCAGTATTAATGTATCAAACAATGTGGTTTTAGTATTGAAAAGGTAAGCGTAAGAGGTGGCAGTATATTTTCATTAAAACTTGCCACTTTTCGATTTGTTCACAAAATTTACACCAAAAATTTTGTGGCTTGATCCATAAATACCACGAAATTTTGTCCTTTTATACAATATCGATAACTCCGGAGGGTCAAAAAATAATTTTATTTATCAAGTTATTACTTATTTTTATGGGGTTTAGGGGGTGAAACTGGCAAATACAAAAAATACTCTGTTATCCATTTCTTTCATTTCTTTAAACCTCTTCTCCCCACAACCACTTCAGACTCAATACCCAAAAACCCTCGCCGATTAATTTCTCGTATAAGAAAATCATGGGCGATGGCAAGCAGGGAGGTACGATGGTGGAAATACCGAAATTTGCCGGCGGTTTAATGGGGCAGTCTGAGCAGAACCCAATCGCGGTGGTGCAGGCCAAATTCAAGGAGGTGGAGCATAAATTCAAGGGGTGGCTGGCCAAGCAGTCTTTGCCGGTGGAGGCCGCCGTTGTCACCGCCACCAGCGCCGCTCAGGGCGCCGCAATTGGCGCTTTCATGGGGACGCTCACAGGTGACACTTCCTCGTTGATTACTCCGCCGCCAAACGCCGCAGGTCTCAACCCGGAAGCTATGGCTTCCCTTAAACAAGCTCAGGTCTGTAGTCTCCATGCTTTTTTTATACTGATTAAGATACTCTTTCACGCAATGGAGCGCCTTACTGTTATTTGTTTTCACGGCGCATAACTATTTGTTTGAGGACACAGCGAATACGAATATCCGTACAATTTAGTCGAATCCGTTGAATTAGGTTTTGTCCAGTGATATTTTGGGAATTGAAGTATATTGGCAATTTTTCCCCCTTTTGCAAATCCGGTTACAAAGTTTGGAGATATTGTATTGATTTATTATAAAATTGTCTTCGATTTTTTGATAGATTGATGTAATTATGATTCTTAGTTTTTGCCATAGTTGACTGATGGTAGTTGCTCGTTACTAATTACGAGAGAAAGTACTGAGTATTTTTAAGATTTTGTGGTAAAAAGTAGTGAAGGCTTATATTCTGCATCGTTGTCTACAGGCTTTTACCGGAGGTCCTCTTGTGCAAGCGCGTAACATTGCTGTTATGACAGGTGTCAATGCCGGCATTTCATGTGTCATGAGAAGATTGAGAGGCAAAGAGGATGTTCAATCTAGGTACGGCTTTTTCGTAACGAAAATTAGCAAGTACCGTAAATTCTTGATAAATGAAAACTTAACATTCTTTGCAATTTGAAGTGTTACTCGAACATGGTGTGTTGCTCACTGGTAGTTTTTTGGAATGCGGTTTGTTCGTTTGACATCAACATGTACCTTCTTATAATAATAATTTTAACAAACTCCCGGTTAGTTTATTGTTCATTGATTCCTTAACATATTTTTTTGGATATGCATGAACATCTTCCTATCATGAGAATAAACGAGCTAAATTGATCGGAATTATAAGAGAAAAATTACGAGAGCTCAAATAGGATATGTATTTAAACCCAGCATGCCGACTGTCGATTTGGGCTACAAGAATACAAAGTTCAAGCTCATAACCTGGGCCTGGTTATTTGATTTTTGAGCCGGATGCTCAATAGCAAATCTGCCAATGTATTAAAAAAGAAAGCTCACTTTGATCCTCTTACCTTTTCATCACACATGTCCTTTCGTCTTCTTCTTACTATCGTCGTTCTTGCTATATTCGTTATCGTCTGCTGTAAATGCTGATTGGCTGCTTTCTGAAATTGCAGTATGGTTGCAGCTTTTGGTTCTGGAGCCATTTTTACATTAGTAAGCGGCATGGGTGGACCGAATCAGGCAGCAAATGCCCTTACATCTGGTCTTTTCTTTGCTCTTGTTCAAGGCGGAATTTTTCAGGTAACTTTTGGCAGAGAAAATCCTTCGAGGCCCGTTGGATTTGTCCGTACTACTGTTGATCTTTTAGTTGGAATTCTTCGTTTTTTATGGTTCTATTACTGTTTTCCTATTTTATTTATTTATTTATGTATATGGATTAATTATATTTTGGCATTTAACGCTCGTTAATGCAGTTGGGGCAGAAGTTTTCACAACCACCCGTTGAAGATGTGTACTACGCGAAAACAAGATCCATGTTGAGCAACCTTGGCCTGCAAAACTATGAGAAGAATTTCAAGAAAGGCTTGTTAAACGACATCACTTTGCCTTTGCTAACTGATAGGTAGTTTACTAGTCTCGACTTTTTTAGTGTACAATCTTTCAAAGCTCATCTTATTACCGATATGCCACTTCGATTTGCTGTTAAATATCCAGTGCTCTCAAGGATGCGAATATACCTCCTGGACCAAGGCTGCTTATTCTCGCTCATGTAGACAGGTATACAGTTACTTACTATTCTTTATCTTATATGCTATTTTTTCTTTCTTTCTTTTTTATCGTAGAATTCTTGAAATATTGATCGGCCCTTATGTCAGCAGCAACCCGGAGCTGAAAGAAAGACGAAGAGGGTCCCGCTGAAGTATTTCCGAAGAATTAAAAACTTGCCCAGTCTCTCTTCTTCCATATGAAGGAAACAACAACAAATTTTTTTTTTAGTAATACAAACTTGTACCTAAATCCAAGAATTGGGAAAATATGTTATTTTGATTCGTGATTTTATTTATTACGTCATCATGCATCTCATTCAATTGGTAATTGCAATATTTACTGGTGGTGGTTTAGGGCCTGAGGCTATATATCTATGCAATTGCAATATGTATTATGATGAATGAACTCTTCAACTTGTTCTTCATGTGTTCTTATTGTGTTGTGCTTTGGTGTGGAAATTAGAATGGAATTTTCGGATTCTGTCAATTCGGATCTGAATTTTTCTGATTGTGGAACAACCAACGTTTTTCATTCCGAATTCCGAAAGTTCCAATTCCGATTTTTCCATATTAAACTCTGATTTCGGCCGATCCAATTTTATTTCCAAGAAATTCTGATTACATTCCGAAATTATATTTATAATATCGATATTATTATATGCTTTTATGTTATATAACTGACGAAATTTTGGAAATTTCAAATTCCGTCAATTATGATCATTTTTTTTTACGATTTCTCATTACGATTTTTAAAATTTCAATTTCCAAGAACGGAATTGGAGTTAATTTTCCGCTTTCGAAAAAAATGGAATTTTATTGTAAATGCTAATTTTAATCCGATCCATCCAACGTCCGTCCGGCAAAATTATATAACATTTGCTTTGACTTTTGACCGGTTGATATTTAAATTAAAAATACTTTTTGGAAGTTTTACCAAATTACAAAATACATTAAGATAATTACATAATAAAATTTTAAAAAGTCTATTGAGAGCTGGAGCTTGAAAAAGAAGATTCTCGGAGAAGTTTGTTGGCACCAGAAAGCTGTTCCATCAGCTCCGTAATTCTCGCAATGTATTCTCGGCTCTCGTGCACCGCCTCCGCCTCCAGCTCCCCTAGCTGGCAGCACAGCCTCTCCTCCGCCTCCTCCGCCACGCTCAGCCGCCCCCACGCCCTCATCAACTCCTCCTTCATTCTCTCCTCCCTCTCCAAGCTCTTCTTCAGCTCCCTCTCCAACTCCTCGTTCCTCCGCCGCAGCGCCACCTCATCATCGTGGTGCTCCTTCATTTGCACGGTGGCGGAGGAGGATATCACGGGAGCCATAAAAAACAAAATAAAAATAAAAATTATATGTGTGCACGTTATCAGGACTCCCGCTTGATAAATAAATAATTATTAGAATAAATTAAAAAATTGATTCGTGCATGGGACTTATATATATGCATAGAAAAAATGGGTGTATGTGTGTCCAGGTTCAATGTATCTGATTAGATCACCGAATCGGATTCTGCACCTCACAAAAGACGACGTCGTTTTCCAGTACATAAATTGTCAAAATCTCGTCGTGTACGTAAACGCGTTTTTAATTGCGATACGCAGTCTCGTACGATTGGATCATACGTTAGGGGTCCATTACAAAATTAATTAATACAGCCGTCCCAATTATTTGAATGACTGTAATTTATTTATGGGAATAATATTATTATTTTATCTGATATTGGTCATCGTTGTAACTTGTAACACGCATATATCTTCTTCCATTTTACTCTAATTATTTAATACGCAAAACTAATCACAAGTCTGATTACTCTAATTACTTATTTACCATGTCATAAGTTTGCGCTATGAACTAACGTCGTAAGTTCTTTTTATTGCATAAAAACCCCGTAAGTTCTTTTTATTGCATAAAAACCCAGTTTTTCATTTCTTGCTGCATAAGATCTCAATTTCGATTAATAATTCACAACCATTATTGTACAAACGTTTCTCAGCTTCTCATGGAAATAAAGGTGTTGGCTTTTGGAGATTCGCATGTGTCACATTTCAAAATTGTTTTATAATAATAATAATAATAAAAAAAAAAAAAATCAAAATATATCCCTTTTAAATCTGAGTGATTGGTAGCGTCACACAGTCAGTATTCCATTAACAATTAATATATGGACCAATTGATATAAGTTACGTGTGGCCAGCATTAGAGAACTGTATAATATGGAAAAGTAGTGAATCTAAATCCAAGATATTGTCATGCAAAAGTTTATCTCAAGGGTCTACTTTTATATTTTATATTTTTATTGTTTTGAGAAATCATCAATTTCTAGAGAAAAATCGAAATATATGTCGACGAAATAAACTCCGGCCAACACTCCTTTTCTATTTTTCTCTACCAATTTAATTTGTTATCTATAGTCCAAATTTGTTTTTATATTATACTATACGAGAGTGAAACACACTACTACATATATGGATGTTTACCATTCATGTACACACAAACAAACACACATATCTGCATTAGTGTGTAGATCAACGATAAAAAAAATTATGAAATAAAAGTCTGAATTCTAATTATTATTAGTTTTTTAAGAGGTGCCTATTGATTTCTTCGTCTGTTTTTCTTGAATTAGCCATGACATCTCTCCATGTAATATATATATATATATATATATATATATATATATATATATATATATATATATATATATATATATATATATATATATATATATATATATATATATATATATATATATATATATATATATATATATATATATATATATATATATATATATATA